TATATATATATATATATAAATAATAGCATTTAAATGATGCTTAAAAAACATTGGTAGTATATTAGCATGCTATTCTGAACACAGCCTGACTGTCCAGTCTGTGAGATGCATGCTTCGATTCTGTTCTAATGATGGCTTTGACATCACAAAGCCAACTCTAAAGAAAAAGAGTAATTGTTAATTTGAAAGAATACTCAGATAACCTTTTACACATCTGATAAAAGAATAAATGAATGATAATTCTACTCTCAGTGTTGTCTGTTCTTGGGCCGTTCCTGAGTAAAGCCTATAGCGATGTACTCTTGCGTTTCTTTTCTGTCTCATATTGAATCTCCCCGTTTCACGCCACATAATTGATCAGTTGTGGCTGATGTAAAGATGAGCACTGCTTGCTTTATCGTATTATTGATCTACAGGTGCATCTCAATAAATTAGAATGTCGTGGAAAAGTTAATTTATTTATATAAATAATATATATATATATATAGGCTGCCCTCGTCTAAGGATTTTTCTGGTCGACTAGTAGTCAGTAGTTCATTTTAAACATTAGTCGACTAATCGCAAGTTTATTAATAAACCATTTAAATCATTATAATGAGCCTTTAATTGCCTACATAGCCATAAGCGCGTACAGTAAGATGTACTGTATTCCCATAGATCAGCCGTTAAAGATCTGTCCTTCACAGACTGCGTGACTTCGCCTGTGGGTTTTTTTTTTTTTTTATTTTTTTATATATATATATATAGGCTGCCCTCGTCTAAGGATTTTTCTGGTCGACTAGTAGCTGTTCATTTTAAGCATTACTCAACTAATCGCAAGTTTATTAATAAACCATTTAAATCATGCTAATGAGCCTTTAATTGCCTACATAGCCATAAGCGCGTACAGTAAGATGTACTGTATTACCATAGATCAGCCGTTAAAGATCTGTCCATCACAGACTGCGTGACTTCGCCTGTGGGTTTTTGTTTTTTTTATTTATAATTTTTTTTCTGCGACTAATACAATTTTGGTCGACCAAGCCTCCTCTGGTTGACTAATGATTAGTCGACTATTAGGGGGCAGCCCTAATATATTATATATATTTATATAAATTCATTTTAGTTAAAGTTGTAGTAATTTTCTTGTGTTTTTTTCTTTTTATTAGTTTATATATATATATATATACAGGTGCATCTCTATAAATTAGAATGTCGTGGAAAAGTTCATTTATTTAAGTAATTAAACTCAAATTGTGAAACTCGTGTGTGTGTGTGTGTGTGTGTTTGCAGTGCTTTTCCACACTGCTGAGCTGACCTCATTTCACTTTGGTTTACTTTAAGATTTGCGTTTGATGTACAAATTTTTAATGTTCAATGAATTTCAGTGGTGGTTTAATTGGATTCACCTTCTGCAAGTTTGTCATTGTAATTGCTTAAAACCGTGCACAGGGGGTTTAATTTTAGAGGGTGCTGGTGTCGCGTTGAGTGACGCCTGTTACATTTATTCTCCTTCTTTCACCCAGCTGGTTTTCCTTTCTTCCCCTCGTTGTCATTCTGTCGGCTCATCTGACTTATCAGAAGAAACGTGTGTGATGCGATGGGCAGCTGCGTATTTTTCCTCCTGTGTTCTCTCATATGAAATTTTCATAAGAACAGTCTGTCAAATCTTGATTGACAAATTATTTTCAGAGGTGAGGCTTCTGTAGGTGCAAATAGGCACAGAGTCTGACTGTTAAGAGCACATATAATCCTTCACCTAAAAATGGCAATTCTTTCACCATTTACTCACCTTCATGTCATCTGAACCAAATTAGATTTTTTTTGTGGAATGCAAAAGGTGTTTGGTTCCCAAAGGACACTGCTGCCGATGAAAGGCATCATTTGAATGCATGCACTGTCATAGCATCTGCCATTTGCAGAAACGTTAGATGCATTTATAGCAAGCGTGTACCATTATGTCCACTACTGTTCAAGAGTTTGAGCTCGTAAGCTTTTTTTAAAAATGTTTTTCTTTTATAGAAGTCTCTTACGCTTACAAAGTCTACATTTATTTTATCAGAAATACAGTAAATCTGTAATATTGTAAAATATTATTATTACAATTTAAAATAAGTACTACCAAAAAGAACAGCATTTATATGAAATAGAATATTTTTTGTAACACTTTAAAAGACATTACTGTTACTTTTGATAATTTTAATGCACCCTTGGTTAATAAAAGTATGAATTTCTTTCGGGGAAAAAATAACTAACCCTAAACATTTGAGAGGATAGTATGGATTCAAAATGTTTGCAAGAAATAAAATGCATAAAAATAATCAATGCATGTTTTATACAGTGTCTTTCACTAAACAGAAATACAATTAA